AACCACTCACGTCTTTGGGCAGGGCATCCGGGTGCTCCTCCACGTAGTTCCCGATGCGCTCCATCAGGCTCTCTAGCACCGGTCTCACCCGCACCTTCTCTTTCAGCCGGCACACCCCGTCCAAAAACGCTTCGAGGGAAGCGAGGTGAAACTCGTCCGGAAACACCTGTATCAAGCAGTCCATGAGGTAGCTCTGGGCGATGGTGTCCTTGCAGCCCACCACCTGGGGGTCAGATAGGGGGTCATGTAGCGCAATTTTTCCAGCGGCAGTTTTGGGGGTTGGCGTTGGGGTTGAACTGTTGCGGTTGGTCAGATTGCTGGGCGTCAGTCGTAGGCATATGTACTGGAGTTCATATGTAGGCGGCAATTTTGGGGATGGACTGTTGTATCTGGCAACATTGGGTTACATAGTAGCGCTGTGGGGGATCGTACCGCGTTGGCATGGGTTAGCTTCGGATCGGTTTTCCATGCTGAGGCGGATTGGGTATCAAGGTGATAGGAGTGAGATATAGACCTGAGTCGGTCTCCCATTACGTATCTCAAATCGGCCATGTACACGGTCGGGTGTGTGACGGCTGCTCGTTCCACCATTCGTCAGGAAGCGATCCTGTCCCAGACTATCCGCGAAATGAAATGTTGTCGATAAGTCGCTGCTGTTGGGAGGATGGGATTTTTATTTGCGTCAGAGAGGCACGCACCTGCTCGAGGACGGGCGGAAGGATGTCGGTCTTGTACTTGGCTCCGTCTACCCCTTCCAGCTGGGATAGTCGGACTAGGTTCGTGCCCACCAGCAGCCTCAGGTCTTTTCTCTCTCGCTCTCGACGCTTCTTGTCTTTCGACGGACCCTTCTGTTGAGCGGTAGCGTTGCCCGTATTACAAAACGAGGGTATAACGAAACGCCATGCACAGACGTGCGAAGAGGGTTAGGTTGGTCCAAACCATTTCGAAGGGAGTTTTAATGAGACGCTTGAGAGTGTGGCTGGACACCACATAAGCGTGTCAAACAAAAAAAGGGGGTGTTGCTGTAGACAGAAAGGGCGTGCATGTAGACACTGGGCAAAGACAAGCAAGGGATAAACAAAACCGCAGCACCAAGGCTGACAAAAACCGCAGCAGGCAATGATGATTCGGCAGCCACAGCGAACCGATAAACCAGGAGAAAAACTAACATAAACAGCAGGAGCAGCTATCATCAACAGCATGACAACAACTGCTGTCGCCCCACATGACAACAAGCAACAACACCAGCATCGCCAACGACGACTCACTCCTCAATCGCAACATGTCTCAACAGGCCGCCTCCTCCTCCCCCTCTCACCTGTCCGTGCATGCGCACCCACAGTTTGTTCGCTTCCACAAAGTTCTCCAGCACAAACTCGACGCTATCGTCCACGCTCCCCCCATCGCCCTCGTACGGCGATCCAGCATCGGGCAGTTTATCCCTTGTACGACATAAAAACATCGAAAAAAAACACGTGGGTGATCTTTGGACAGGAAGAGAAGCCTCTGCATTCGACTGTCCTGCTGAGGCGGGTAGCCTGTGTGCTAAGGAAAAGAAAAGGGAGACCAAGTGTGGATATCCCCAGCAGCGAGGATAAAATCTCCCCCAAGAAAGTCGAGGACGATGCCCTCTTTTCAAATTGGTGTAGGCGAAGAGATCTCTGCTTTCGGCGGAAGAGAACCAGCAAGAGTTGATTCAAAGACGCTCGATAGCCAAGAACGTACAAAAACGTCGACAGAAGTCCCGACATATACATGACAACACTCGGAAGCACGGCCGGAAGGCGAAGAATCAGAAAGACAGGATTTCGAGCAAAAGGCACAAATGACGGAATAGCGCTACTTCCTTAGGAAGAAACCCTCGAACGATAATGCTGTTATCTTCTTCAACATGCTAACGCTTGGTACAGGCTTACAAGGATACACTGATGGATAACGCTGTCCAGAAAGGGTGGTAAGACAAACGACACACCGCCTACCTAGTCACGTGCGAGAAGTAGTTTCTGAGAAAGAGGCCTCTCATGGGGTGCTGCACGCCCTTCGTCATCTCCAGCAGGTCCTTTAAGATATCCTGCATTGCATTTGCGGGAATTGCGTCGAAGGATGCATCGCCTACGTATGGCGGGGACTTCACGGACGATGTCCTTGTGTGCGATGTAAGAAGGTTTCGACGGGACTCGTGTACCCAGTGCAAAGGTATCGCGCGAACACAAACAGGGCCTTGAAAAACACCAAACAACAGAAGGGACGAAACACACGGAAACGAAGGGCACTACGGAGGGTGTACCAAGAGCACAACCCCGGCTGTGTGTGTTACAGCAGTAACATGAAATGCTTGCCTAGTAGTGTGCCAGCAAGCTCCCTTTTCACCTGCGTCTCCCTGTGTGAGGACGAAACACACCTCACACGCGGACGCTAATATCGTTTTACCCCAACAGTTGTGCCACGAGACGTACTACGGTTACATAGCACGTCTCTGAGCAGCAAGGTGACGGGCACTCCAAGCAAAAATAATCGTCAATTTTCGGCTCACGGACATTCAAGAACCATGTACGAGGATCTACTGCCGTCAGAGTCTCCGACTTCCAAGTGGATGAGTAGTACGTCCCAGAGCAGTCTCCATACGGAAACGTAAACTCGAAATCTAATAACTTTATCTTCGTGCACACCGGTGGTGCTATGTGACCGAATTGCCCTTCGTTGATGTTTGTGCGGAATAATAGCTCACCCTCGCCGGCGCCTCCTGGGAGAGGATATAGCACGCCCCCACGGTGTTGAGAAGGTACAGCCTTGGCAGCACCATCGTGCATGCCTGCGCCTGTTCGTACAAACCCACCATGGGCTGCCTCGCCTGCCGGTTCTGAGACGTGAAGAAGTCCTCGAGGTGGCGCAATTCATCAAGCACCTTGTGTAGGGGGTAGGAGCACACACAGCGGGTGAACGCGGTCGATACAACCAAGAAAAGGCACACGCAGACACTCCTTCGGTGTTGCGAGGTGTGGCAGGTGCGTTTGTGCGTATGCATGCAAGCACCAACGCCCAGGGGTGTGAGGCGTGCTTATGTGCAACAACGGCAAGGATGAAGAACAGATCGGAGTCTTCGCCAAGAAGGCAAGCATCGACTGCACGTGAGGCAACCGACGCACCCACCGTTTCCGAGGCGTTTCAAGGGAGTCGCGTGGAAAGGAAGGCGTTTTATCCCCTGTTGTTGCCGTGACCTTGCTCCTCTTTCGAAACGGGCTAACAGCGTTTCACGTTTTCCAACTACTGAGTGTGGCGAATATTAGCAGACAGCCAAGCGCATCCAATTCGCCATCCGGAGATGACGTACGATGTACGGCCACTGCTGTTACTTCTTGTACCGCATCATGACTTTGCCGGCCAACGTGCTATCTACGACACCGTGCGAGTCTTCCTGTCAAGTACATTCGTGACTGCCGCCGAAGGTCTGGATATCAAAATTAATCGAAACAAGCGAGCCAGCATCGGGAGCAACACATGCCAGGCTAGACCCACGGCGCTCCAGTGCTGCCGGGTGCATGAGGTACGCAGAAACAAATACATGCCGTACGTTTTGCCAGGGGCTTGCGGCGGCGTAAACTTGAGCATGCAGCACGTGTATTTTCGCTTAGTACGCAGAACCGCAAACAACCAAGGCAATCTCGAAATCAGCCTTTGCCGAATAAATAGGATGCAAGGTCCAACCTTACCTTCATGTACAACTCGTAGTAGTTTCTGGGCGACAGCTGTGTGGTCTTGAGCTCCTTCAGCATGTTCCCGGCGTGCGTGAAGGCGCTCTTCGTGTCGCTCGCATCCTGGGGGTTTTCACAGAAAAAGGGCGTTCGTCAAAAAATTCGGAGAAGGGAGGGAGGGGGTGGGAGGATAAAATACCGTGAGAGTCGAAAAAGGAAGAGACGTGGGCAACACAAGCGACGAAGTACTGCCGTTAGCGCGCACGTTCGCACAAACGGCACGGGTACATACAGCCAAGAGCTTCGCCTCGCGCAGGGAGGCGCTGAAAACGGAAGCCGACCGTTCTTCCGAGCACGCAGGCCCATTGTCCTTACTTACGCTGCTGGTGTTGGGATAAAGCAAGTCCTGAGCATACACCACTAAAAACTCTACGTTAGGCTTCCGAAAGCATGCGCGACAGCACCCAAGCGCCACCTGCACAACAGACCCACATCTCGTCTACTGCACGGCTACACTACTGGTGTGGCATCTCCGTCTTCTAATGAGGTGTTCTTCCCAGCAGTGATTTGTGTGATTCTCTCCCTGACATCTTGCTACGAATCGTTTTTTTTTTTCCACGCTTCACACCAGGTGCTTGGGTGTGGCAGCTAAAGGGGACAGGGCGGACGCAATTCTCAGCGCAATCCAATCCCCAGCAGTCACCCGCAGAACATGCACGCGACAACAAACCAGAGAGCTCTTGGTATACAATAACGGTGCGAAAATATGGTGACTCGGGGAATGAATGTAGTAGGTGGAGATCAAAGATGCATAGACTGCTCGAGAACATCCGTTGATCTCACCGTAGCTCTCTTCATCAGGAAAGCCTCCTGCATGACGCGCTTGTTCCCCTCCGCTAAAGCTCTCTGCTGTGCCGCTGGGTCTTCCATGATGGTGAAGCGGTGCAGTGTTGTCGAGACGCGACCCTCCGAAGTCTTGACTCTCTTGGGGCCCCCGGGTACAGCAAAATGCGCACAGGGCGTGTTTGTGCGTCGCCAGACAAATCAAACAAGAGCGCTCGGCTTCCACGCTCCCACGGGCTCACTACTACAAAAGGAAATCGCCCAAGTGATCGACCTACAGCCGTGGGCACCCACCGTCCGTGAGTCCGTGGCAGTGTGTGCGATGCACCTGCTTTCTTGCGGTGTGGGGTCAACAAGAACAGCAGTAATGCACACTGTGACCTACCATAGAGCAACACTTTTCGATGTGCGGAGCCCCAGGCCGCAGAGAGCGCGCGTCGGTCTGCGCGTCCGCGCGTTGCGTCGCATCATCATTGAGGGTTGTTGAGAGTTGTCTTCGCCCTGTCTCTGTCGCCTCCAGGAGTATAACTGTTGAGGTACTCTGCTATTTTTGACAAGCATCATCAGACGAGAGCACAAGGGTGACCGGCCGACAGCAACCATGTCGAAAGACCTGGGCTACAAGCAAGTCAAGAACGTCGAGTCGAGGCGGACATGGGATCGCGACTACTACGAGGCTAAGGCAAAGGAGAGGATAGAGCAGGGCGACGACTACCAGGAAAAGGACGAAGGGGCACCTGCAAGGAGAAGCCAAAAGGAGGAATTCCAGCCGGCTGCCCCGGGGGCGGCGGGGCCAGCAGGCTCAGCGCGGGCTTACCTCAAGGTACACTCCAGCTCTTCGCGTGCAGCTTTCTTTGCATTCACCGTTGCCTGGGAGGCAGTTCCTAGGTCGTACCCAGAGTTCCAATCTCAGCGTTATTGATGGGCGGTGTGAAAAAGGTGATTGGTAATTCGCTCTCCGAGACTCCGCTTCGGAAACACTATCTTCAATACCAGCAGTGTACCGGCTGCAAGTGTGATGCGGTGAAACTGATCATCTACACAGCGTCAGTGATCTCTAGGCCAACATGGTAACATGGTCCGGTGTTCAGTCGCTGCTCTACCAAAATCTTCCTGGAGTAGCGTGCTGGTGGAGAAGGGGCTGACAAGCAGATTTTCCTACTTTTGTTTCGTTGGTTTTGCGGAGAACATGTGGCTTGGTACTTAGGAAGGCAAGGGGTCCCCTAACCTAACCTCAACTTCTACGTCACTCTGCCGGTTTGGCACATTACTTGCATTGGGCACCAAGAAGTGTTTTCGAAGCCCGGACGTCGTATGCAAAAGCGTAGGCAAGTTTTCCTTGTCGAAGGGCCCCGACAACAGCTGTTGTTCAAACATCGCGCTGCATTTACGATTTATTTGCGTTGGGGCAAAGACACCCCAGGTAAATAGGGCCTTAACCTTCCGCGTCCTTCCTACCCTTTCCTCCGACCGACCGCATGCCACAGACCCGAGAGAGGAAGGTCGACCTCTCCTCCAAGCTCGGCAAGACGCAGGTAGTCACCGCGGCGTCCACGCCGTCCCAGCAGGGAGGCTGGTACTGCGAGATCTGCAAGTGCGGGCTCAAGGATAGCATCAACTACCTGGACCACATCAACGGCAAGAAGCACCAGAGGGAGCTGGGCTACAGCATGCGGGTAGAGAGGTCCACCGTTTCGCAGGTGGGTGGGGCGGGAACAGTTTGCTTGGCGAATACGTGGTAGCATCTGGTCACACGTTGCCCAATAAACTTCGTCGGGGCCTGGTCTCAATTTCTCGACAGCAGGTAGAGGTGAGAATCTGGATAGCACGCCAAGACCCAGTGCCGCGAAGAAACGCTGATGTACGGTGTGATTTGCGACTACGATCCATGTCGCAGCCACTTATTTCAAGACTGCTGTGTTGGGCGTCAGGGTAAACTTGGCTCACGTACGACTGAGCCTCATGTTCAACAGGTTTCCTGTTGTTGTGGTCAAGATACCGTAGCGGAGACCGACGTGGTGTTGGATGTGTGCTGCTGCCCCCAAGTACTCAAAACTCTCATGTGTATTTCTTGCTGTGGCGATGGTTCACCACCTCCGTACGAGTGCACCAGTGTTTTGTTTTGTATCGACCGTTGCTGTTATGTAGTCAAACCTTGTTTATATTGGAACTGGGACGGGGATACGACCGGCTAATGACTTGGAGATGAATCTTTCTCTTTGAATTGGCCCGTGGCAGGAGGTGTAAAAAGACAACCCAAGAACGGCATTGATCGTTTGCTGCAGTTCAAGGTGTCCTTTATTCCTCGCAACGTAATTGTGGACTGAACGAACCGTGACACTTTGTACTGATCCGCAAGCCCGACTGAACGCGCTGAATCGTAACTTCGCATCTCCTGTTGTCCTCCCCGCTTGAAACGAGCAAAGCAAACATGCCGCCTACATCGATGAAACAATCCCTTTACACACGAGGACATGCTCCTTTTGCTTTTGTTCGTTCAACGGCGTCATCCCTCGCTTACTCCAATCGTACGCCTCACGGAACCAACCCCTTTTTCCACGGCAGGTCAAGGACCGACTGAAGATGCACAAACAGCGGGAAGAGGATCGGATTTCGGGGGCTTTGAAGAAGCCATCTGCAGAAGACGAGTTTGACACTAGGGTGCGGGAGGCAGAGGTAAGCGGGACCATGCTACTTCCCCCACCGTCGTGGGTGGTTGAGGCATCGGCGCCTTGCTCTTTTCGGTGTCGATGCCTCGCTTTCGTGGGCGTCTAACGAGTCGCTTGTGAAATTCACGACCCGCTTCTTCTCCATCTCACGATAGCTCTTGGGAAGAGGTAGGTCGGACGCATTCGCGCGGATTGAAGAGTTTTTTTTCTTGTGCTCGAGCTCTGTCGGTAGCTCCAAGCTCGGGGCACGTACCGCCCGTGGTATTAGTGTGCGCACGAAGGGGTGGAAGGGGTGGAAGGGGTGGCGATTTTCGCGCATATAAGAAGGCACTCCTTGTGAACTTGTGAGGTCGTGCGCGTGTGTACCTAGAAATCAGCGAGGTGCTGCCTACGCCGCCAGACGCTTGCGCCATTCATTGAGTTCGTGCGCACGAAAGCAGGGAGTACGCGAACGAAGGTAGCCGCCATTCAAATGCTGTACACTGGAAGCGTCACCCTCGTGACGGGCGGGCCACGTGCCTTGCAGCTCTTGACCCGAAAACGAAAGAGAGCCATCGCCGGAATTCTCCTCACCATGCACACAAATGGGCATGCTTAATGAGCCAAAGAAACGTTGGCATTTCTGCTGGGCGGCTGTTGCAGAGTCTCCCTTCCGCTCTCTCCTCACCCATGACCCCCCTCCATACCTCTCCTGATCCTTAGGACAACGAAGAGCGACGAAAGCGACAAAAGAGGGAGGCGAAACGGCTGGCGAAAAAGAAGCAACAGGAGGAGGAGGAGGAGATGGAGTTCCAGGACCCCGAGATGGCGGCGATGATGGGCTTTGGAGGCTTCGGGGGGGGGAGCAAGAAGTAGTAGACACATTGATGTGGTACATCTCTCTGCGGCAATTGGAGCCGCGAGGGCACGAAATATCGTGTCCACGACAAAGTAGTCAATCTCATGGCAGCGTGCTAGTGTGTTCACACGACCAAATGTCATGGATGGCATCATGATAGTGCGTGTAATATGGTGTGTTTTACCGAGTGGTGCTCAGAAAGATAGATACCACATCATGCCTTGCTACTTGGTTGTTGGCACTGTAGTTAAACCTGGTTTTAAAGTTGTTGTTTAGAAGGGAAGACGAGGACGGTGCGCCGCGCGCGCCGCCGTATAGTCCTCGCACGATTGCTCTTTTTGCTTTATTTGGTTGACTGTCGAGATCATGTAATCACCTCCGTGAAGGCAAGATTGAAAGAAGTGCTAATCCTTGGAGCGGATGTTCCTACCAATTAGTTGCCCTTTTGTCGGCTGGCAAGATACGCTATGGGTTCGAACCCTTACGAAATTGGTGGCGAGTAGAGATGTCTGTGAGTTGCGTAGATGGCGGCGCAGCGTAGCTTGCGTTTGATCCGATCCCCGTCTTGCCCGTCAATGTGTGCCAGGAATAACAAATTACGTGGGTACGGGGAATATTCGGACCTCCACGACATCCATGAGAGTTACCTTCGACAACACGAAGATCACGGACGATATGATCCCCTTCGTGGGTAGCTTGAGTGCAAAACAGCTGGTGTCTGGTGACGACTACAAATGGTCGATGTTACATACGCAGTCTAAAGTCTGGGCACAGGATAGCTTGCTGTTCTACGAGGACCTCGTCGCATAGCCCGTCTGTGTGGGTGATATGATTGGGTTCGAGACCAGCATACAAACCAGCGAAGAAACCACTTTGCCACTCTTCCCACCACCGGTCGCCCTGGTGGTCTAGTGGTATCCTCGTAATCCGCTAGTCGCAGAGGTCGTGAGTTCGGATCCGGATCCCCATGGGATGAAAAATTTACGAAACGTGCGGGTGAAAGCGAAAAATAGCTGACAAGCTCTCGTGAGTACCAAACTTCGACGTTAGCACCGGTGACGAGGGAAAGGGACGGCTGGACCTTACTCGCGATAAAAATAAAATTCAGCACGCACCGCAGGAGGAAGGTGGGGCATGAAAAGAAATAAAGAGAAGAAAGAAGCCCTGGTGTTTACCCCCTCCTGTGTGACCCTGGATGGTTGTAGTTGTACGAAAAAATACACTGAAAAGTGTAGTACTCTACATACGCTAAAAACTGTAGTACACGTCTCACCACGAAAAATGGGGGAACTGTCGCCATGATAAATAGGACGAAAACACACACACGATCTCACGATGAAGAAAAGACCAGGGGATAGGTGTTTCTGGGGGCTAACGCCTCCCGCAATTGGAGAACTTATTTGAAAAATGAAAAATGTAACTGCCATCAAGGCCTCTGCTCCTGTCTGATAGAGATTGCGATAGACACAACACACCCTCAGGTCACATCTGCCGGCATATCAACTGGTCGCCCCCTTGGTGCTTTCCAGTCTTCTTGCTGAAAAGCAGTGCATCATGTTTGGAGAGGCAAGGTACAAGCCGAGGCAAAACTCACACCAAGGCCAGTTTGCGAGAAAGCGAGAGAAAGAGAGGAGATGGGAGCAATCTGTTGAGGGTATCGCCGCCACAGACAAGGTGTGTTGCCGTGTGGGGTGGTATGGACTCTCATGGCACGGCATAGAAACATGTGCGTAAGGGTGGTTGCGTGCAGAGTGGTGAGCGAGCTTGGGATGGGTTCCGTGTATGTCTCGTGTTTTGGGGAGTTACGCCGCATCGGATATCAACCTACAGCATCTGCAGTTACCAGACCTTTCCATCGAGATCTACCTCGAACATACACCCGTTGTGAGTCATTCTACCTGCTTATGTTGTCGATCTTTTGCCCCTACAACGTACTTGGGGAGGGCAATACTCCATCTAGATATACGATAAACGGTACGCTCGTACGCTGTGCATGTACTCATACGCTACTACAACAGCAGTATGTCGTCTTGTAAGGGGCTGTGTTCCCCGCCCACTCTGTCTCGTGTCGGCTGTCGACGCCGTTGAGCCCCCCCCCCCCCCCNCGCCGTTGAGCCCCCCCCCCCCCATATCACAGCGTACACCACTTACTCTAATACTCTACCCTCCATGCCTTTTCAGTGGACTGTGCGGTGCATGGCCTGTTTTGTGAGTCATGCATATACTGTACTCTGCAGCAGTTTGTGAGCCCGACGCTAGTCCTCCGCACGAACGCGGTAGGATCCATTCTAATTCCTAGTAATTCGTTCATGTTGCACACTCACGCCGCAACTCGAATCCAGTACTACTGTACTAACGTCAACCTATTCACATGATGGATACAATCAAGGCCGTTAAATGACTAAATGCATGCACGTTGGCGCGGTTCCGTCTTCTTTCTGAGTCGTGATGCTCGCAGAGGATTAAATGCACCCAACTAATGGCTGCTTGCTGCTGTTACCCTTCAAGAGAATTAGCCCTAAACCTACGGCGGCGATTGCGACTATCACGTCCTGGAGAAACACCTCAGCGAAAACGTGAAATCATCTCCGCGAAATGACTGACTGCAGGAGCGTTATAGTTGGTGGTATTTGTGTCTCTCGTGGCTGTGCATCCCCCCAACCGGCCCGCACACCGGTCGCCCCGGTGGTCTAGTGGGTAGCCTCGCAGCCTGCTAAGGGCCAGGTCATGGGTTCGATTCCCGGCAGAGGGAGTTT